CTAAATAAATGAACAAACGGACACACACGCGCACACACACACACACACACACACACACACACACACACACACACACACACACACACACACACACACACATATATATATATATATATATATATATATATATATATATATATATATACTTAAAATCAAGAAATAACATAACATAAATACAAATACAAATAACAAAAATCATAATCCTTTGATATAAACAGTGTTGGGTAAGCTACTTTAAAAAAGCAACAGATTATAAATTGTGGATTACTACTAGACAATTTTAGTTTTTATACTCAATCAAAGTAATGTCTGAATTTCCACTTAAACAAGCAATCACTCTTGTCAGCATCCATTTCAGCTCGTGTTCTCCAGCAATTTAAAAGTGCATGCTTATTAACTGATGTTGCCATGGAAAATGTTATTTAAAGGAAGCTTTTTTCTATACAATATACTGAAAAGCAGGTAATGCTATACTATAACTATCTATAGTTCTTTTTTATTATTATTAATTTTTAGGGGTTTTCACCTTTATTGACAGGACAGTGGAGATTAACAGACAGGAAAGTATGGGGAGCAAACGACCTCGAGCCGAGAATTGAACTCGGGTCGCCGTGAGCACCTGAGTGCTAAATGTCAATGCATTAACCACTAGGCTTTTGGCACTGACTTAACTAACTATATTTCTAACGCAAGTAACACAATTAAATTGACTTTAGTAACTGTAATCGGATTACACAAATGTAATATGTAATTCGTTACATTACTCCGTTCCTCAGAAATGTAATTGGAATACAGTAACGCGTTACTGAGATACATGCTACACCCAACTCTTGATATAAATATCTAAAGATATTTATCTAAGAATGAATAAATAAATAAATAAATAAATAAATAAATAAATAAATAAATAAATAAATAAATAAATAAATATTATAGATAAATGAATAAATAAGTAATTAAATAAAATTCATTAGTTAATTAAATGAATGATACATTTTCCCCCAATTTCTGTTTAAGAGAGAGAGAATTTTTTCAACACATTTCTAAACATTATAATTTTAATAACTTATTTCTAATAATTGATTTATTTTATCTGATTTATTTGCCATGATGACAGTAAATAATATTTGACTAGATATTTTTCAAGACACTTCTATACAGCTTAAAGTGACATTTAAAGACTTAACCAGGTTAATTAGGTTAACTAGGCAGGTTAGGGTAATTTGGGAAGTTATTGTATATAGTAATGGTTCGTTCTGTAGCCTTATGAAAAAAAAAATAGCTTAAAGAGGCTAATTTTGACCTCATTTTTTTTTTTACTTTTATTCTAGCCGAAATAAAACAAATAAGACTTTCTCTAGAAAAAAAAAAAAAAAATTATCAGACATGTGATAATTCAAATGAATGAATGAATGAATAAATAAAATAATAATTAAAATAAATAAACAAATTAATTCATTAATTAAATGAACGATGTAAAGAAATAAATGAATGAACGAACAAACGAAATGAACGAACAAATTAATATTTTAATAAATAAAAAAATAAAATAAAGAAACAACAGATATCTTGGATGTTTCAGATAAAAATCTAAAGATCTTTAGATATAAGGATCTAAAGATATTTATCTAAGTATGTATAAATAAATAAATGACTATATAAATAAATCTTTGGTAAGCAGTGTCAATATTTCCCCTGGACATTCACTACAGAAAGTATATAACAAATGCAATACAACACAAATAAAGAAAAGAGCTTCCAGCATCAGAACGTACATGTCACGTGCAGATAAAGGGAGGATGTGTCGAACCCGAGGCTGTTCTCGGCCAGTGCTGTGACCCTGAAGATGCCGGCGCTGCGGTACACGTGTTTGATGCCCTCCTGCGTCCAGCTCAGGTTGGAGTAGGACACCGCCGTTCCGTCTCCAAAGTCCAGCTGAATGTTGGTCCTCATGGAGTCACCCTAAAAAACCATGCCAAGTCAAGTCTAATTATTACAACAACTCTTTAGCACAGTTTTCTTAATCAGTGCGTCTGGCAGCTGAGACCAAAAACAGCTGCGGGTAACGTCACTGTTCTGTTTACACAGACACCGTCCCATCTGTTTCACACTCACAAAACACTGCTTTCAGTTCATTCTGATGTAAATCTGACTGTATTATAGGAAATGCAGGGGAGGCTCTAGGGCAGCCAGTTTTGATCCGTGACATTTGAAAATATTGGTATAATTGTGGAATATTGGATTAGTGAAAAATCAATTTACAAAAATAAATGAATAAAAAAATTTGGACTAAAAAAAGAGGAACAAATTGTTAAAATGTGGAACAATGGATTATGCATTTACAAAAAACAGATAAGATAAAATTGGATGTAAAACAATGGAATAATTAATTAATGAAAAATACATTTACTAAAAAAATAAAATAAAATAAATATTTTTTGTTATAAGAAAATGGAAAAATTTGGTTTAAATTTTGAAATAATGGATAAGTAAAAATGCATTTAATAAAATAAAAAATAATAAAAATAAATAAAATAAAATAAGATAAAATAAAACAAAATAAATTAAATAAAAAAAATATTAAATTAAATATTGTTTGCAATAAGAAAATGGAAAAACTGTTAAATAAAAGATTAGTGAAAATGCATTTACAATTTTTTTTAAATTAAATAAAAATTGGATTAAAAAGTAAAAATATTGTTAAACTGTGAAATAATGGATTAGTAAAAATGCATTTGCTAAAACATTTTAAATAAAGTAAAATAAAATCAAATTTAAATTAGAAAAGTGGAAAAGATATCAAATTGTGAAATAATGGATAATGCATTTACAAAAAAGATCAAATAACACACAATTGGATTAAAAAGTGAAATAATTTTTCAAATTGCAAAATAATGGATGACTGAATAAAGCATAAAATAAAAAAAATAAAATAAAATAATATATTTTATTAAATAAAAAATGTTACAAATTGTGAAATAATGGATTAGTAAAAATTCATTTGCTAAAAAAATGTAATAAGGAAATGAAAAAAGATGGTTAAAATAGTGAAATATTGGATTAGTGAAAAAAAAGCATTTACGAAAAATGTGATAATAAAATTAAATTATAACATTTGCATTAAAAAGTGTACAAATTTGTCAAACTGTGGAATAATGGATTAGTGAATATGCCTTTACAAACATTTGATAAAGTAAAATAAAAAAAGACACCTTGCAAAGGGTCAGCAGCTATAATAAAATATCTTAAATAATGTAAAATTAGATAATTAATGTAACACTGAATTATGTAAAAAAACAAACAAAAAAAAAAAAACAAGAAAAAAATTCCTCAATGTTGAATAAGATAAATGTAAAAGTGTGGCACCTAAAATCACAAAAGATCTCTGCTTGGACCACCAAGTTACTGTAATTTATAAATGCCACTCAAGAAAGGAGCATGATGAAATCCAAAACAGGAGCTTCTTATTTACAGAAAAAAAAATAAATAAATAAACTCCCAGTATGAATTTATTTGACTTTCTGTGGGAGCCGCTCATATTACTTTTCATATGTAATATATATTCGATAGAGTGTATTGTGTTGTGGCTTACAGTGAGATCTCAGATATCCTTACGGGTCAATTGCAATCCACCGCAATCATAATTACTGTTTATGAGATGCGATTTTGCAGAGGGAATATAAGAGTAAATATGACTCATGCACCTGAGAATGAAACCGCCATCTCAGATTCTGTCATTTCATAAGCTAAAAGCAGTAATATAAATAAATCAAAAGTGAAAACTGAGGTTGAATGTGTAGATTGAGTTAAATGTACA